TTCTTCTAAAGGGGTCCTTGTGCCAGGTGGCAGGGCAGGCCAGGGCAATGCCTGAATCCTTACAATATGAACCACAGCTTAGCATAAGGCCACGGCGAATTAGTCTGCAAGTTTGACCATATATATAATGATAAAGACCTAGCAATGTGAGCTTTAGTCCTGGACACACCAACAGGCCCGGTAAAGAGTCATGTCTGGAACCCAGCTTCTTGAGGAGCTCTGGGGAAGCTCATTCCCCAAGTAGGTAAAGTTGAGGTTAGAGCCAGAGCTCTCCTCCAGCTTACAACGCTGCAAATTTCCCAAGGGAAATCTTTTTCTTTTCTAGAAAAACAAATTATGTTCCGCCTGGCTTTACCCATCCTTGCCAGCCACAGGGAAGGGAGACGATGAGGCAGAGGCGGAGGGCTGTGTCCAGCCGTCTCCATGGACAGACTCTGGCTTCTGACATCCACTGTTGATTTTCTGTAACTGTCCTAGTAAAAGGGAGCAGATGGAGAACCAGATTAGACCGGCCAGCTCAGGCCTATCCATCATTTTATGAGTCTTCTGTGATTTTTGCCAGGCTAGCAAGGGTGATCTGGGAAGAGAAAACAAGGGAGACAGAAACTCAGAGGCGCTGGGCCAGGTCATTTGTGACCTGGGAAAAGGCCAGAGCAAAGCGGGGATGTCAGAGGTGGACAGACAGACAGACGCATTTCAGCTCCCATCACAAGCTTTGCACTGCCTGGCAAGCCGTTTGCCGTATGCGTTCGCTCCCCTGTCTGAAAAATGAAGCTATTCACATATTCCTTTCAGAGCTATTACAGGGGTTAAAAAACGCATGTGAAGCACATGGGTTATGAAAGTTGGCTATCTCAAGGGACTTTGGAGCACTGAAACTAATGATAGAACAATGTTCTGTAACAAATAATGCCTTTGCAAGTCAGTTAGGAGAGGAAAATAGGGAGGGAAGCGGCCTGCCAAATTCCATTCAATCTCAGTTTGGCTCTACATACATATATTAAGTACCTATCACGGAGCAGACTATGCTATCACCATAACTCAGCTCCTGGAGCCAGAAAGATCTGGGTTTAAATCCCACCTCTACCATTTCCCAGAGGTGTGACTTCAGGAAATGATAGACCCCCTGACGTGGCAGTGTATCCCTCCGAGTAATGTTTACGGCACCTGCCTCAGAGGTAGATGAGAGGAATAAACGAATTAATACTAATGACTCTGCCATGCTGTGAGGGCTCAGTATACTACACTTAATGTCATCTTTGTCATTGTCATCACCACAACTACCACTAGCAACTCTGTGTATCACATAAGGAATTAAAACAATGCATCAGGTGGGCTTGGGTGTAGCTCAGTGGTGGGACCTGGCCTAGCGTGTACAAACACCCAGCATGAAAAGTCAAACAAGCAAAAAACAACATGGGGTTAGATACATTCCCTGCCCTCAGGCACCTTACAGCTTTGCAGGTCCCTGGGTTTAGGAGAGGATCCTAGGATCGTGTGGCAAGGCACATGACCAATAAAGCCCTTATTGATATGCACTGAACGCCATCAGGGAGACGGAGGTCTTTGAAGTAAAGTAGGAAGCAGGAATGGATAATAGTAGAACTGACTCACCTACTCCGTACCTAACAAAACATAACGGGGCTGTTCTCGAGAGACTCCACGGCCTGCCAAGAACTCCAGGCTGGCGCCAGAGAGATGGCCAAGCAAATAAAAGTGCTTGCTACTCTTGCCGAAGGCCAGAGTTCAGGTCCCAGCACCTACAACAGGTGGCTCACAGTTGCCTATACCTCCAGCTCCTAGAGATCCAGCGCCCTCTCCTGGACTCCTCCTGCACCCCACACATGTGCACGCACACATAGATCAATAAGAGTAAATTTTGAGCCAGGAACTGGAGGTGCACGCCTTTAATCCCAGTACTTAGGAGGCAGAGATAATTGGGTCTCTAACTTTGAGGCCAGCCTGGTCTATAGGGTGAGTTCTGAGAGCCGGGGTTACACAGAGAAACCCTGTTTCTAAAAACACAACAACTACGACTACAAAGAAAACAAAAGTAAGTAAATAAGTAATTGGTGAATAAATAAATAAGTTTTGGGCCAGAGAGATGGCTCAGTAGTTAAGAGCACTGGTTGTTAAGTAGTTAAGAGGACCCTGGTTGGATTCTCAGCGCCCACACGGGGACTCACAACCAGCTGTAACTCCAGTCTCAGGGGATCTGTTGCACGATTCTAGACTCTACGGGTACCAGGAACAAGCATGGTGGACAGACAAAGCGCCCGTATACATAAATTTAAAATTAACTAAAATTTAAAAGTCTTGTCTTAAAAAAAAAAGAACTACAAGCTAACCTGGGGAACAAATATTTTATTCTCAGTATCTAGTGCACTGATCATTTCAGGACTAACAGGACTATTAGACACAGGACAGCAAAAAAGTGACCTCAGCAATGAGAACACATGTTCACAGGACAGGATGAGGTATAGAGGACCAGCTTCAAAGAAGGGGCCCTTTCCTGAGTCTCACAAGACCAATCCAGGTGGCTGCCCCTGGTGGTTAAAACACAATCCGTGTTCTGTGTCGTTTCCCTCACTCGCAAGCATCCCAGCCTCGACTCTCACCCTCGGATCTGTCATGGTCGTTTACGTCAATCCGTGGCTCCCTTACAGAATGATCGCCGTTCATATCTGCCCCCACTTGATCCAGGATTCCCGGGGGAGTGATCCTTTCGACAAGTATTTATTGAATAGTTGCTAAATAACACGGTGTATGACACTGTGATACGACAGGCTGGTCCTGACCCCTGGGAACCCAAGCAATTCAGGCCGATTTCCCCAGATAGAAATGAGCAGTCACAGCCCAGAGAGTGGATTGTAGGTACCCTCAAGGAAAGTGAACTACTCTGGCAGGAGGCAGTAAGGAAGATGCAGGAACAAGCTAACTTGGGGAACAAATATTTTATCCTCAGTATCTAGTGCACTGATCATTTCAGGACTAACAGGACTATTAGACACAGTACAGCAAAAAAGTGACCTCAGCAATGAGAACACATGTTCACGGGACAGGATGAGGTCTCTCAAGGTCCAGTGCCACAGACCAGGAGACAGAGGACCCGGAGGTGACATTTGCTGCCCGACGTCATGGAGAAGTTATAGAGAGCAAGGGAGATGGCTCAGCAGGTAAAGTCACAAGCCACCAAGCCTGACACCTGAGTGAGTTCAGTCCCACATGGCAGAAAGGGAGAACCAACCCCTGAGAGTCGTTCTCCAGTACACACACACACAGACACACACGCGCACACACACACACACAGACACACACGCACACACACAGACACACACACCTGATAAAATAAAATGAAGAGATTATAGTCACAGTTTAGACACTGTGTTCAGAGTTTAAATTTTACCTCTCCAGGAAAGGGATAAAAGTGACAAGTCGATTATTCAGGTATTTAACTCTCCTAAGAACTGTGATTTTGAAGGAAATGAATTTTGAATTCTGGTGAATTGTGACACAACTTTTCTCAGAAGCCACATTTCAAGTTCATAAAGTATGCAGTAATAAAACTCCCCTCCCGAGCTAGGCATGGTGGGCCACTCCTGCAACCCCTCAAGTGAGGGAGAAGATGAGGCTTCCCCCCAAGCCCCGCCCCTCCTGGACCCCACGGTGAGACCCTGTACCCACAAAACAAAACAGAACTCACAGGAACTACCTGAAGTCACTCAGGAGCACTTCCTGCTGTGGCCGGCAGATGGCAGAGGGTGACAAGGGAAGGAGGGAGCCACAGTCACCGCCCCGCCCCACCCCGCCCCGCCACCCTGCAGTCCTCAAGTAGAAAATCATCTGCCTCAGCCGTATTTGTTTAAAGTCGCTCCTCATCCCGAAGGGCAGTTTCTAGGGAGAGGACTGTCTGCTTAAAATTCTTTTGTCACCGTTTCCATATCACACCGGGAGACCAGGCATCCTCTCTGCACTCCACCAAGCTGTTGCCCCCTGCTGCTCTGACCCAACCTCTCCTCTGGTCACCTGACTACTTTAGCTGAGAGGACACTTGGGGTACAAGAGTGTTGACCAAAGCAAAGGGGTTTAGTGGTGTGAAAAGAGGTCAGTCCCTGTTGACTTTAGGAAAACAAAACAAACAAACAAAAACCCAAAAATCATCCTGGATAATTCTCCCTAAAAAAGGGGGATTTTAAGACCACCTCCTTCTCAGGGCCCCTGGGGAACAATGGAGCCCTATTCCGGTCAGTTTTCTGTTACTTTAATAAACATCGTGACCAAAAACTACTTGGGGTGAAAGGGTTTATTTCATTTACACTTCCAGATCACAGTTCTTCTAGGCAAGAACCTGGAGGCAAAGACTGTTGCTGAGTCTGTGGAAGAACCCTGCTTACTGGTTTACCTATTGACTCACAGGATGTTACCTTCTTTATGCAACTCAGGCCCACCTGCCTAGGGACGGTACCACCCACAGGTGGTTTGGTCCTTCTACATCAATTAGCAATCAAGAAAATGCCCCAGAGACGTCCATGTCCACAGGCCAACCTGATGCCCACAATTCTTCCATCGAGGCCCCTTCTTCCCAGGTGACTCTAGACTGTGTCATGGCGACATAAAAACTAACCAACCCCAACTAGCCAGAAACCAGAGACTTTTAAAGATCTCATAAATGGCCCGGCTACAGGGGCTTTATGAAACTCTCAAACTTCTCTCTGGAACTTCACCAGAGCCAAACTTCCATCATCTGCATTCCTGTCAACTCTCTCTCTCACCTCCCAGGCTCCCACAGAATATCCCATTATGATAGCTTCAAGTGCACAACAGCTTTTCCACACCAAATCCCAAACGCTTCCACGGCCCTCCCCCACACGATGCGATCAGGACTGCCACAGCCACAACCCAGGCTTTAGTACCCATTTCCGCCATAGTTCGTTTCCTTTTGCTGTGATAAACAGCATGACCAAAAGCAATTCAGAAAGGAAAGGGTCTGTTTGGCTCACCCGTCTCCATCACAGTCCGTCATTGACAGAGGTCAGGGCAGACACTCAAGCAGGAACTGAGACAGGAATCGCAGAGGATGGCGCTCCCTGGCTCTGCTCCCTGGCTGCTTTCTAGTACAACCCAGGACCACTGCCTAGGAAGGGCATCACTCACAGTGGGCTGAGGCGTCCCACATCCATCATCTGTAAGGGAAACATCCACAGATTGGCACACAGGTAACCAATCCCCCAGTTAAGGCCCCCTCTTCACATGATCTAACTTGTGTGAGCATTACAAAAGCTAACCGGCATACTCGGTTTTGTGTGTTTGGTTGTGTGGCTGATATTGCTATTGCTGGGGTTTTGTTTTGGAGTTTTGTTAAGTTTTATTTTATTTTTTTTTATTTTACTTACTTATTTGAGAAAAGCTCTCACGCTAAATTCCAAAGCCGTTCCCTGCCCGTGGGAAATCTCTATATGACTCAAGCCAGCCTTGAACTTGTGGCAATTCTGTTGTCTCAGCATCCCAGGGCTAATACAACAGATGTACGTGACCACATCCTGCAGGCTCACAGTTCCAGGGGTTCCAGTCCAGGTCAGTGTGTCCCCTTACTTATGGCCCAGTATAATGCTGCAGCTTGGAGCCTCATGTGACCCAGGAAGCTGCCCATCTCATAGTGGCCAGGAGATAAAGGCAGGAAGGGATTGAGGTCCCCCCAGCCCCCTTTAAGGGCTCCCACAATGACCTGTGCATTAGGGGCCACCCTTAAATGTTCCACTGCCTCCAAGTAACCCCATGTTGAGGACGAGAGCTTTAATCCAAGGGCCTTTGGGGGACACTTTAATTCAAACTGCAGCAACTTATTTTTGCACTTTTTAACTTTGAAAGAAGATAGGCATCTGGGAACTGGAGAAGCCAGGGGCTCCTTGCCTATCAGAGAACCGTTCTGTGTTCGGGCAGCTGCAGTGAAATGTGATGAGTCTCCAAAGATCAGATCACAGGAATTAACTCCGCCCTACCTGGAGTGTCACTGGGAAGTCGGACACTGACACAGTGTGGGGACACGCCCAGCGTGCCCTTCTGTCTGCTGAGAAAATCCTAATCCTTGGGTTTGATTTTGTAAACAAAACCACGGGATGATGGTGTTAAACAAATTCACACCTACGAAGGGCGGAGCCCCTGTTAAATGCCAGCTGTGCCAGAATCCAACACAGAAAGAAACATTTTTGAGATCTGGGGAGTTATTAAATGGCATTGGTTATTCACTCTATTTCACTGAGAAAAATTTATTGAATATCAACTATGTGCCAGGCCCTGGGCCAGGTTTGGGATAATAACAAGATCGTGCTGACCCCTGTCTGCCCTCAGGAGAACTCCCTCCTTGAGTATTTGGTATCTCTGGGGTTAGCCAGGGCTTCCCGCAGTGTAGGCAGAGTATGAGCCCCTACAGGCCAGTCTCTGAGACATCTCCCGGCACACCAATTAAAGACATGAGTAATGGGGGATGCCAAGGACGGAATTTAATATTTGGGGAGAGAAGGAACAGGAACAGACAGAACGGCCCAGTGGTCCCAAGCTGTCTTCATGGCACTGGCGTGGGCTTGGAGTTAAATAGAGGAGGAACTGGTACAGGGGACAAGGAGTGTGTGTGACTGAGCAGTCCTGGTGAAGAGGTGGCCTGGCCCAAGCCTGCTTCTTCAAAGGGTTTGAAAAGTCCTTGTTGCAACCGTCACTTGGAGGGAATGTGGTCCCTGGGAGGTGGTTACTCACATTCAGGGTGCCACCTCACCATTGTGGAAAATTGTCTCCCCATGTGTGGTGTGTGCTGCCAGGCTCTGCCATTCCTGGTATCCAGGGTTAGGATAACGACTTGGTTTTCAATCTTCAGTCTTGAAGGGGAGCTGACAGATATCCCTTAGTAGTTAACACACCTGTGTGGAGTCGAGCAGGAATCTGACTCAGGGTATAGAGAAGGTAGAGACGCCAAGCTTTCAGCCTACTTTGTGTTACCGTATGAGCCCCAGAAGAGAGTCCATGCTTGTCAGTAAAAAAGCAGAGTCTAAGTGCCTGATCAAGAGAGCATGTGTGTGTGTGTGTGTGTGTGTGTGTGTGTGTGCGCGTGTGCGTGCACACATGCGTGCGTGTACTTTCTATAATTAAATATGTAGTTTGAGGCCAGTCTGGTCTACAGAGTAAGTGCCAGGATAAGCTCCAAAGCTACACAGAGAAACCCTGTCTCGAAAAACCATATATATATTGCAAATATGACAATTGCTGCAGTTTTAAAGAGCATGGGAATTGTCCACAGACAGCAATCTTCCAGAGATGCGACACCAGTGAATAATGTACTGCACTGTTGGTAGGTTTTATTTCATCCATTATGAGGCACTGGAGACCAGGACAGCAGAGGAAAAGTCCACCCTTTGCACGCACACTGGGACCAAGTACAGGATCCCCTGTAAGTGAAACAGTGTTCACCCACACCCAGAATCAAGCTTCCCCAGGTCCTCCTGTGATATCAGGACCCGAAGCTATGAAGACGTCATGAGTGAGGGGAGGCTGCCTGGGATGCAACTGCAATGTAATCTTGGCTGGCAGCTTCCTGACTCCAAGCTTGAAAGCCTCTCACCGCCCTGCACGATCTCAATCCATAGCAAAAAATCAAACAATTGAGACAATGCACTGACAACAGGTTTGTTGAGCCAGCTCCCTGTCTAGTCATTTGATAACAATTTCTTTGAAACCTCCCAGTCAAGGCAGGGGAGGTAGCTCAGTGGGTAGTGGACAGTTTGCTCTGCATGCATGATGGCCTGAGTTTGATCCTTGGCACATATGCAAAATGCCAGGCATTGGTGAGTGTGCCTGTAACCCTAGCATTGTGGAATGGACATAGGCGGCTCAGTGGTTGGCCAGCCTAGCAAATGGAAAGCTTGAAGTTCAGTGGGAGACTCTGTCTCCTCTGCCTCAAGGCAGGTAAGGTAGACAGTAGTAGAGGAAGACACACACACACACACACACACACACACACACACACACACACACCCCGCACGCACCCATGCACCCATGCACAGAGACAAATCAGCTGTTCACCTAGTTGGTCAATTTGTTTTGAGACAGAATTTCATGTAGCCCAGGCTAACCTCAAGCTCCTCATTCCTCTGCTCCTACCACTCAAGTGTGGAATAACATGCTGTGTCCCCTACCCTACTTCCATTCACCTTTAACCTCCATTCATGGGCACAGATGGCAATGCAGTGACTTACAGGGTCGATGAACCCCACGCTATCTGTACATATTGTAGACAAAAGTGAGCAATAGACCACAAAGCCTCACTCTGGTGCTCTTGGCCTATAGAAGCAGTTAGAGCCCTCCCTTGCTGAGTGGAGGTGGTGGAGTAAGGCTGTCTGCTCCATGCTTGTGAAGAGAAGAGCGCGGAGCTGGACTGCAGCCCCCTGAGACCTAGAGACCCAGACTCAAGAGGACACAGGAGAACCGTGGTTCGGAGATGCCCTTGCTCTGACCCCTCGGGAAGTTGCCTTTGACTAAGACATCTTTTGAGGGAATGTTGGACCTGTTCTTCATCTGCTGCCTGTTTTTTTTTTAATCTTAGAAATAAGCCAACCCCAAATCACTTCACAGCAAAGGCCCTGAGTGTTGGTGGCTAGTGAAGGTAACCAGCAGGGAATTAATGGGGAGTCATGGGTCGTCATTAAAGAATAATTTTCATAACAGCTTCAGGTGCTCATTTGTAAAAATATGACCAGCTCTCAAGACTTTTCAGTTGCATTCCACACGGCTCCACTCAGATGTCTTATTTCTTGCCATTTTTAAGACTAAGTGAATAGGTTTTAGGGTGAGATTGAGTATACTCTATTTACGTTTGTTTTCAGTGAACAAGATGCCTCCGGTACTCCTCCACTCTATAACCGTTACAACCCTTTCTGTCTTAACGCTTATGTTGAGGTAAATGGACCCTAGAAAACATTCCGGAGAATTCCTGCCTAAACTCAGCAATTGCCACCCTGGACCTTCAGCCTCTGGGTTTCCCCCGCACACCCGCACATCCTTCCCCATCGCCCCCTCGTCCCGTCTCCCCCAGTCATCAACCCGTGCCTTAGCAGGCAATCCTTCCTCAGGGCAGGTTAGACAGGAAAGGCTTCCATCAACCCAGCAGGAATGCACACATCATCGTTCCCCTCCTTCCTTGGCCATCACCGCTACCCACATCATGGAAAATTCAGCCTTGCTGTGGTGAGAGATAATGTTGAGTTTTCTATGGATGAGTCATTGAAGGGAAAGCCATGGGAGGGGGGTTGGAGAGAATTCATATTAACAGGATGTCACTCTGAAAGTCAGCGAGACTGAACCCTTGGGTGGGAAACGGTCACTAGCAGAGAAAGCCACTCAGCACTCTGAGAAACTAGTGCTTTCCCTGAGAAATACGAGAAGTCTGGCTATAATGTTGAACCCTGAGGTTTATACCTGTAGGAAGTTGTCTCAGTTCTGCTGAGATTTACAACAATTATTAAGCATCACTTAGAGCCAGTGATATTGTTAAAGTGATGGAGAAGTAACGTGTATGTGTGTGTTGTATGTGCTGTGTGTATGTGTGTCTCTGTGTGTACGTGTGTGTCTGTGTGTCTATGTGTGTGTCTGTGAGTATTTGTGTGTCTGTGTCCATGTGTGTGTCTGTCTGTGTGTCTGTGTGTGTTGTATATGCTGTGTGACTGTGTGTATGTGTGTGTGTCTATATGTGTATGCATGTGTGTCTGTGTCTGTGTGTATGTGTATGTCTCTGTGACTGTGTGTCTCTGTCTGTATGTGTTGTATATGCTGTGTGTTTCTGTGTGTGTGTCTGTGTCTGTGTGTATGTCTGAGTATAGCTGCAATGATTTAAAAAATGCTTCTAACATGAATTCTCTACCCAGGAAAAACTGCCAAGCAGACATGAGGACAAAAACTTAATTTGAACATGCAAGGTCTCAATGTTTTCCTTCCATGCACTTCCCTTATGAAGCGTCTGTCATAAGACAAAGGAAAAATGGATCAAGGAAAAATGTGATATGACTTTAAAAGGGGCACCCACAGTCTTAGAACATTCTGGAATGTCTGTTCTGCTCCCGTCCAGACTGGACATGGCCTGGGGAAACTAGACAATCTGGGGCCAGGGACAGAAAGAAAGGGCAGTGAACACACA